CTTGTGGCTTTCAGTTACTGGAAAATTTCACATCAAATTTACAGCCCTAGTTTCATGATCACTACATAGCTGAGCTAGCTGAAATTCTTTTTTTATCCCTGGGTCTATGCTGACAGAGGGGCTTGTAATGGGGGAAGGCCAGAGATTTTGGGCGTTGCAGCCCCTAGCATGTAGTGCCAAATAAGATGGCTTGAGAAATGGTAGGTCTCTTCTGATAGGTTAGATGAAGTCTCCCTATTGTTAGCTTGGGGTGGTACTTTCTGCCCATGTGTTTATTTTCCCATACACAGTTTCATTATTTGCTTATAGCTGTGTGCAGCTTCAAACCCTATCCCCTCTGCTACTGAAGAGCCTTTGGGTGAGAGAAAACTTAGTGTCTTTCTCACTGCATGGTATCCTCACCAGTCTTTTTCAGTAGTCCATTTCCTCACTGATCTGCCATATTACTAGTCCCACAGCTTATTTGTTTTTTCTGTGTTCTATATCCTGTAGACCTCTCAAATCCATGAGTCCTTTTCTAGTTTTAGTTAAGGACCACATCAACTCAGTCATTTCATCATAAGACCTAATTATTCTGAGGGGCAAGCTGTACAATAAACCCTAAACTCACTTCAGAATTCTCTGCATTGGAAGAGGCATCCTATTTTCTAAGGTCATTTTTTCTTCACACTTTAAGCTTTCCCGAGAACATTCTGAACACATTCTGCTCCCTTCTGAAGGCAGCACTGGGATTGGCCTATGATATCCATTTAGCAACAACTGCTGGTATTATCTGCATGCAGTCAACTCCCTGTTTGACTTACAAAAGAGAAGAGCTTTTCTTTGTGTCTAATTCATACAAGTGGAGAAAAAGCCTTCTTACCACTAACTGCATTCTTAAAAATAATAGGAAGATCTTAAATTTCTTGCATGTACAACATACAATGTGTTAATTCTTCTGCATTTGGGAAGATTTTTCTTTTGGAAAGGCCTGGTCAAAGTGTGAATGCCTGAGTAGTAATCATGTTTTTAAGAGAGAGAGATTAGTGTGAGATTGGATAATTACCTTTGAAAGCACGTTAAAATTTAAGATGGAATCACATAGTACCTTGTTTGTCATGGACTATTTCTGATTGTTGTTTGTTGTGTTATGACCTCCAAGAAACATTCTTGATTCTTCAGATAGGTGGAACAGCATGCAGCATTTGACTGGATTTCATGCTAACTCTGATATTAAAAAGTATTTTCATCAAAATGTAATTTAATATTCTCCCAAAATACGTCTGTTTAAATTTTATCATTCTGCCATGGATGCTCTTTTTTTCATGTTAAACTTGTTCATTTTAGTTGTTCATCAAGAAATATAGTGATATTTACTATGTACATAGCACTGTGCTTTGTTCTAGCAGTGTGAGAAATAGATATCGCCACGGGCCTTTTAGAGTCTATATTCAAATTGAGGAAATAAACTATAAAGAAATACAAATAAATAAATTACAATTTGATAACCAATGCATGAACTGAATAGGCTTCTATTAGAGAAAAACATTGGATGGGTCTACTGTAAATGTGGCAATTAAAGGTTTATCAGAGAAAGTGAAGTTTCAGCTGAGATGCAAAGCAAAAGACACAGCCATCCTTAGCAGAACTGTAATGCAGTTATTGAGCAGGTGTTGAGGCTTTGGTGTATAAAAAGAATATGTTATGCTAGGAAATGACAGAAAGCCAATATCACCATATTTATTTACAGAGTGAGAGAATCATGTGGAGTCTTAGAGAACTGCTAAAGAATTTTATTTATATTCACAGTGAAATGAGAAACCATTAAACAATTGGAACATGGAAGTAAAATGAAATTATTTTAACTGAAAAATTACCCTGCTTTCTGGGGGGAGGCGATGTAGAAACACAACAGGAAAAACCACAAGACAATTAAGTATCTATTTCAATTGATAAACAAAAGATTAGCTCATGGATGGTGGCATTGGAAACAGTGAGATCGTGCTCTGAATTGAATCATGTTCTCTCAAAATTCATATTAGGGGCTATAACACCCCAAATAACTGAATTCGGAGACTGAGCTTTGTTATGACTTAGGTCTAGAATGCCCCCCAAAGTTCTCATGTGCTCAGAAGCAGGTCTTTTAGAAGGGCGATGGAGAATGAGGGCACTATAATCATCAGTGGCTTCATCCACCAAGGAATTCAGCGGTGAGAGTACTGATATGAGGTGGGGCCTGTCCAGAGCAGCCTGCTTACTGAAGTGTGAATGGAAGGCTATGTTTTCCTCCTTGGCTCCTCCCCAGGTGCCCTTCTTCCTGAATGTCATGGGATGAGCAGCTTTCCTCCACCAAAGTATTGCTGCCTCGGAGCCAACCATGGACCGAATCCTCTAAACACCGCGGCCAAAATAACCTTTCTTTCTTTAATTTATGGATGTCCAGTTTTGTGTCCCGGCCACTACACAAAGTGATTAAGTCGGGCTTGTGAAAAGTTATTAAAAATTATATGAGGCCAAAAAAGTGGGACCTCGATCCAATAGAAGAAGGAGGGGGGAAGGGGAAGAGGGGCAGAGGAAGAGGTGAAGAAAGAGGAGGAGGAGGAGGAGGAGGAGGAGGAAGAAAGACCAGAGCTCTTCCTCTCTGTTGTAAAGACATAGCAAGAGTGTGATCAAATATGGTCAGGAAGGACACCCTTAATATAAACTGATTATGCTGGCGACTTGAGGGTCAAATCCCCTGTCTTTTGAACATTGAATATATTTTTGTAGTTTCAGCTACCACCTGATCTATGTACCTGATATTTTGTTGTGCTATTTTGTTTGCAGTCAAGTTAATAACATTATGCCAATATAAATTTCTTGGTTTGATATTACTGTACAGCTATGTGAATTATTGCTGTCAGAGTAATCTTAATAAAGGATAAAGGAGTCTCTGAAATCTTGGAATTTGTTATCACATTTCAAAATATAAAGCTTTCAAAAATTTGCCCCAAAATCCATATAGTGATAACAATTACCTTTGTTTATTATAAGAAACTTGTAGCATATATGTAACAAATATATATATATATGATTCTATGTGTATTAGTGTTTGTGTATAAAGTGTTATGTATGCATACATAACACTATATATATATACACACACATATATATATACATATACATATATGTGTGTGTGTGTATATATATATATATAGTA